AAACGACAAACAAAATAAAAATTATATGGAATCCTTATACCAACGATCCTTCTTCCTTATTTTCCATTTTCCATACTGAATAAGTATTATTTATAAATGATATTAAAAAAAAAAAAAATGACCTATTTAAAGAGCATCTTTAATAAAAACAAAAAAAAAGAAAAATGATTAACTATCCATTATCGAATTGAAATATCTCGATTTACTTAAAAATCTTAAGATGGAATTTTTCAAATATTATAAATGAATAACAATCGATTTATATTGTATTATTTTCATCTAGTGAAATTCAAGAGTATATTTATATAGTATGAAATAATTCTAATCGAGGATCGGTACTTCTTTTGACGATGGAGTACGTCACGATGGCTTTAAAATCGGAAGTCGTGGAAAACGAATCGTTTTGCCGATAAATACGTATACCGACATACTGCTACCGTTTCATCAGTGGAACGACAACGCCACAAATGATGACCCAATGTCGTGAAATATCACCGGTACGATTAAACAATGTCGCCGTGGTCGCACGGATCTATAGGCAACACGTCGTAATTGATGCATCCACAATACTAATGCCGAATGCCGAATGTACAAATGCAAATTTTTCTTAAATCGAACTTTTGCAAAATTTATCATATCTTCTTTTCTTTTCTTTTGTTTTTCCTTTTCCTTTTTTTTTTTTTCGTTCGTTCGTTCCTTTTTTCTTTCTTTATTTTTCTTTTTTTGTCCAATTTATCTTCCTCTTAAATTTTTTTTACCAGTTAATATAATAAATCTAGAAAAAAATCGTTGAGAATAACTAACAAAAAGAATGGTAAAAGGTAAAGGGATCGATAGAATAGAAAGGGATGTTTGAAAACACGACGGAAAACAATCATTTGTTTTCGCTACTTTGTATGACTTGCTACGGCTCGCTGCATCACTGAATGGTCCATTTTTTACGTTATATAGAGGGAAAGAGAGAGTGAAAGAGAGAGAGAGAGAGAGAGAGAGAGAGAAAGAGATAGAGGGAGAGAGAGAGAGAGAGAGAAAGAGAGGAAAAAGGGAGGAAAAAAGAGTAGAGGTTTGCGTATCCGTGATACATACACGTTCGTATGTCGCGTCGTTGAATGTCGTTCATTTCGCGCTTTTTCATTGTGCTTTACTAAACTCGGAAGTGGCTACGCATCGTTGATCTTGCTGTGGACTCTACCACTACGCTTTTTACGGTCCATCGTATTACGAAATTATGTTCTTTGCTTTTTCTACCAGCCGTTTTGTGGGAAAAGTCGGATGAAAAAGAAAAAGAGAGAAAAAAAAAGCGAAAGAGAAAAAGCAAAAGAGAAAAAGAAAAAAAAAAAAAAGAAAAGAAAGAAAAATCGAAAACTTGCGTTACTAATGAATCATACGTTCAAATATTCAAATACTCTTCCTTATCCTTAAGTGTTCGCGTGCTAATTTCTACCTACGCCGTTTCTACCTACAATTTCAGATCCGAGTGGCACCCGATGAAATCGCACCTCCGGTCGGATGTTATTACGCGCAACAACCTTCCTTTTATACCTATTATACGCATGCCATCCCAATCGATTAGATTATTCAAAAGGGAAATCTACATGCTCGACGTTAAACCAGCTATTAACTGTTGGAAAAGCTAGCTAGGATGGATCCTTATCCTTCATAATTAGACGAAAATCCTTATGTTAAGCAATGGATCTATCTGTATCAGATGTAAACATATAGATACGTATGATTCTTCTTCGTAATCTATTATCATTAAAAATCTATAAATTAGATCGAAAGTAGAATTTTTTAATCATCGACGAGAATCGACGATTCGTTCTATAAAATATTTCGCATCCCCGCACGCGAATCGTTTAAGGGATTTCTCTGTAAAAGGGAGGGAAAACCGTCGCGTGCACTTGCCGGCTTCGTGCAAGGTACACCGAAACTAACTCAACTCACCTATACTAAGTTGAAGAAAGAAGAACGATGCAAGAGGAAGAGAGAGAGAGAGAGAGAGAGAGAGAGAATATCGTTTGAGATAGGTATAGAGGTAAGAGAAAGAAGGGGTTTCGAAACCGAAGGCAAGGCACCGAGGATCGATTTCAATTTAGCATCCGTTTAAGCGTGCACGTTCGCGGCTAACGAGCTTTCGAAAGTCGTAGATAGCTGACAAGTTGGCCTACGAGCGGTCGCGCGCCCACAACCAACCAAAACAGCTTCGAAACTTATCGCGGTCGGTTCCGTGGCTACTCGTGCAACGCCGAGCAAGATTCCTGCTCGCGCTTACACATTAAACCGAGAAAGCTTGATTCGTCCGTTGTTACGTCCATCAAGTTCTCCCAAGAAATTTCTTATCCTTTAAAAATATTTTTATAACCAAGGAAACATGACAAATATGTCTGTCTATATATATATATATATATATATATATATATATATATATATATATATATATAGACAAACATATTATAGCATCATATAATCCTTTTATTATCTTCGAGATTGAACTTTTGAATATTTTAATATTTTTATTATTTTCAGAATGAATTTCATGCAACAGGTACGTAAAATGCATAGATGAATAGGAGAAAATATCTTGAATATATTTATATGTTTCATAAAATAGTTAGGATTTATAAATAAATATTATTATAAGTAAGGAAATGATAAAATTAATACTCATTCAGAAATCAACTCTTTATGATAAAATCATACTCGTTCATAAATCAACACAACTAACTATAATAAATAGTAATGATGTAAGAAATGATAATTATAAAAAATATATGATGCCTGTAGTATTATATTGTCTTACTAATTATAAAATACGTCACGGCATTTATGATTTGTAATTTCTGATTTATGATTTGTGATTTATGATTATAAATTGCGCCGTATCATAATTATTATTGTCGTGACATATTATTATTATTATTATTATTATTATTATTATTATTATTATCATCAATATCGATGAAAAAATAAACTTCAGTTTCGTATTGATATTTCATATGACTTAATACCATTAAGTTAAGTCTTAATATCATTTAAAAAAAAATTATTATGACTATCATTTCTTAACAATTTCATCATCTATGAAATAATTGCAATAAATATTGCATTCTCGCTTCTCTCTCATCCTCAAAAAATCTAACAATCTTTATTTGAAACATTTATTTATAAAACTAATGGAATAGGAGATATTTAATGATGTCATTTAAAAAGGATTACACCCTTTATATATATATATATATATATATATATATATATATATATATATATATATATATAATGATATAAATTCCTCATCCGTAACAACACTTTTTTATGAATCAACCCACATTATCTTTCCGTAAAGGTCTGAAGCGCTCGTAATATCGTGACAAAACGTTTATCATTAAATTTTACCATTAAGGAAAACGAAATGAATTTGCTATATTAAACTTAGGAAAAGTAAGTACGTAACCTTCTAGTATAGTCATCGTTAATGTATTCAAAAGAGAATAAGAATGGCAAGTGAGTTTGGAGGGCAACATTTTCCAATGGGCCTCCAGAGTTCCTAGTTGAAGTCAATGGAATGGCGTGTGGTTCCCAGTTGGTAGATTAAAGGGAACGCGTGTGAGGAAGGGATTTACGTTCGGTTGCCTAGATTACACATTATGCCTGGCATTTTCTTCGGGTATGGTTTCCTTTCTCCGAGAAATCCATTTTCCTCTTTCTCTCTCTCTCTCTCTCTCTCTCTCTCACACACACACACAAATATACACATATACACACACATACACACATTTTCTCATTCAACGTTTGTACTTACCTTCTCAATCGGTTGCTTTCGTATCCACATAGACCGTGAAGTTAATCCTTTCATGGAGAACGAAGGTATTCACAATTCGATTGGATATCGACTTACGGTCATCGTTGATGGTTCTCACGGTATACCAAGTAGGAGAGATTCGATTCTATTTAAATCCGACACTCGTTTCGCCCTAAAGTATATTACTGAAAAGAAATGTTTTATAAAAGGGATGATCGTTAACTCGAATCACTTCGTCTTCTTATTTAGACAGATTTGTTTTTATGAAAACAGTGTACTTTATTTGCGTATAATATCTTTTATCGTAAAGGCTACAAAACGTTTTAAAAAATATTGTTGTACAGGCACGAATGCGTTGCAAAGCCGCGAGACGCATACTAGCTCCGCAATTTTCGGGATTTCCATTGAGTATCAGAATCGTATCGAGCACGAACATAAACAACGTGTCCAAAGTCCAGTGGGGCCCAATGTAAATAACGGACGAGCAAGTGCAAAAATATCGAGTGGATATCGAATATAGTATAACGTAAAAACAAAGAGAGAAGATACGCGGGGTTGCGCGTGGTGGGCGGTTGGGGGGGGCGAGGGGGTTGAGTGAGGTACGGAGGACGAAGGGGAGAAAGTAGGGGTTGCGTCAGGGACGGGAGAGGTGGAAAGAGGTGGAGAAAGCTATAGGAAAAACGTGGAACGCAAGAGACGAGTTTCGAAACGCAGCCACGCGTGCAAGCCGGGATCGTTTTGAAATCATAAGCGAAATTGTGCGATGGGCTTGAACGAAATTTCCTCTCCCGTTTCCTCTCTCTAATATACTTTTCGATCCGAATGAAAAAAATAGAAAGGAAAAAAGAAAAAAAAAGGAGAGAAAAAAAGAGAGAGAGAAAAAACAGAGAAAAAATATTTCACAGAAAAAGACGAGGGAGAGAGAGAGAGAGAGAGAGAGAGAGAGAGAGAGATTGAGAGATTCAGTTTGGTACGTATGTAAATGAAAATTGTACAAAATTCGTTATTCCCGTTTCCCGGTTAGAAAAATATTATATAATAAGAAAAAATTTCAAGAGAAAAACTAAAATCCTAAAAAATATAAAGAAGCAGCAAATTTCAAACTTCTTTTTTTGTCCGTCAAAACGCGTGCAAATAATAGATAATGAACGGGAGAGGTTAGACGTCATTCTCCATCAGAGATCCCATTCCTCCTTTCATATATCTCCTTCCGGTTTCCTTTCTTCGTTTTCCTTTTTTTTTTTTTCTTTTTTTTTGTAGAGATCCTTCCTCTTCCATGTTACTCCTCATGAGATAATCACACATGAGGAAGTACGCGTTAAAGCATTACCGAATATCGGCCAACTAGTAAAACGTAACACTCGTCGCAAACTCGTACTTGCTTAGAATTTTCAGTCAGGGACATCGTGTTGTCGCTACAGCTCTTGCAAAATATATTTCCACAGTTACGGCAGTGGTGCTGGAACGATATAAGGAAAAAAAAAATAATTTCGTTAAAAGAAGAAAGAAGAAGAAGAAGAAGAAGAAGAAGAAAAACAAAAAATAATGAAAGAAAGAAAGAAAGAATAAACGACAAATTGAAACATTCAAATAAGACTAAGGATTTTTAATAATAGGATAGAAAAGAATAAGGATAGAAAAGTTTCTTATCGAAAAAAAAAAAAAATATATATATATATATGGATGTGTTCACCCGATTGGCTCCTTTTTCGTGAAAGCTTCTTTCGACATAAACGTTTTTCGTAAGAGAGGGTTCTTCGACTACGATTATAAAAACACGATTTTATGAGAAGTACGCGTTTCTTCGCCTCATCGTTTCACGTAAAAGAACTGAACTCTCTTCGTTTTTCCACCTATCGGACCTCTTTATTTTCGAACCATTACCGACCGTCTATTATAATAATGTGAATTTCGTCGACCGAAAGGGAAAGGAACAAGAGAGAGAGAGAAAGAGAGAAAGAGATAAATAGATAGATAGATAGATAAATAGAAAGAGAGAGAGAGAGAGAGAGAGAGAGAGAGAAAGAGAGAGAAAAGAGAAATGAGAGAAGATGAGCGAGAAGGTGAAGAAGACTCAGGGGTAAGTCCAACTAAATTTTACATCTAAATTGAATCCAAGCTAAGTAAGACGACGAATGAAGCCAATGGCTTCGACGTGCGCGGTCGAAGTTAGCAGTTATTACCGGAAAGTAAGACGGCGAATAATATCGTCTCGATAACCGATTTCCTCAACGAACTTAATTATTGAACCGTCCCATCAGCATGACTTACGACCTAAACGCAGTAGATTGGTGCCTGCAACTTCCTACCGGCATACTCTAACGCGAATCACCCCTTCTCACACCTTATCTTTTAACGGAGATAGATACCTACTTATAGATACTTTCCAAGAAGAATAAATCAGTCTCTACGAGATCAGATCCAAAAGATACTGTCGACCAAATGATGGACCGTTGGCGATCCGTAAGCTTTCGCAGTGAATTTTCTCAGTTGGCCTGCTCTGTGTATTCATGCGGCAAAACCCAGTTAAGAAAATGAGATACAACAGGGACATTGTTTTGAAAGAAAATTTAATTGAGGAAAGAAAAAAGAAAAGAAAATGAAAAGGAAAAAAAGACGAAAAAAAATAAAAAGAAAAATAGATAAAAGGGAAAAGGTAGATCGAAAACGAATATATATATATATATATATATATATATATATATATATATATATATATATATACACACATATATATATATATATATATATATATTGAAAATCGTTCATAGATCATACTCGTTCGTGTATTTCGAATTGAAACATCGTTTTCTTCTGAATAAGATAACATTTCGTGCATTACGTCGAAACTTTCGATCAAGTTGATGCATGTATTTCGTGATGCATAAAAGAAATATGAAAGAATGTAACTGTATCCATGTGAATCGGGCCGATACAGTTACGTATTATATTTTAGCACAGAGCATATATTGGGAAAAATAATAACGGTAGCTTTCATTATCGAGAAGATCGGAAGAATCATCGATATCGAAATTGCTGATAGAATCGATGGGAATGCTGACGGATCGTTTCTTCATGGGAATAAATGTGAGCGGAACGCGTTGACTGCGTTGATTGAAGAGAACGGAGATTAGAAAATTTTCCTGATATATATGAGCGTTTCCACGCTTGAAGAAAAATGTTTTTGATCGTCGGTACGAAGGTATGATTTTTGCAGTGGACGATCCGTACAAAATTTTTGATCACGAACCGATTTCATATCATGAAAGAAGAAAGTGAGAGAGAATAAAATATTACCACCATAGAGGAATAATTTGTCCGTATGAATAAGATCAAAAAGTTCGCAGTATTGCGAGAATTCCGGAAGGGAAGAGAAGGGAAGAGAAGGGCCAACGCGGGTTCAAGTAAAAGCAACGTACCGGACATAAAGGAGGGTGGACGCAAGGGTGGGTCATTATTTTGCATGCCTTTGCATGTACAAATACACGAGCTTACGTCTACCATACTTTTTCTTCGAACTTCCTAAAAAGGAATTACACCTACAGTGTGAGAAGAAGAGAGAGAGAGAGAGAGAGAGAGAGAGAGAGAGAGATAGAGAGAGGATGTAAACGTAGAGAAGGTGGCAACTTTCACCCCTCCTCTTCTTGATGCTCGCGAACGTAAACACGGCCCTTAAGGTAAGGTTTGCCTTATGATACGATTTCATCTGGACGAACCTTGTCCACGGCTTGCATGGTCTATATTAAACAGTATGGTAATACATCCACGCCGCGAAAAATGAGTAACAAGGATGCCTTGAGTACCTAGAGCCTTGTTATTATGCAATAACTTACCGAGCCTTCCCTTTCCTACCAACCTACGGGCCCGTTTTACCTTTCTCTCTCTCTCTCTCTCTCTCTCTCTCTCTCTCATACACAACATCGTCGTCCAACAGTATCCTTCCTAGTGCAAGCGTCTCCTTTTCTTACCTTAGTAAAACAAAGAGAGAATACAGTCTAAATGTATTTTCACGGAACGGCGCAACGTCTCTATCGCATCCGCGACTGAATATGCATGCACAACCTGCATGCATGACATGTAATCATGAATATAAATCGGGTGATGGTGCAATAATGTAATTGGACGTTCTCGTTCTTCGAAGGAATGAATCGTTTGCGCTAAGGACACGCTTGCTCGAAGCTATTTTTATTTAAGGGGAACACCATAGTTGAAGAATCATCTTTCATATTTTGTCTCTCTCTCTCTCTCTCTCTTTCTCTCTCTCTCTCTCTCTCTCTTTCTCTTTTACTCTTTCTCCTTTTCTTTCTTTTTCTCTACCGTTGAAACGTCGGAAATGCGTGAACGAAGAATAAAAATAAAATCAACGATAGCTAATCGGATTTCTTTTTGTACCATGTGAAGGCTAAAGAATACTGCTCACGATTAGCACTGAGTGTCGAGAAGCTCGCCGTTACAGTAAATCGTGTCTATCGTGCACGTCCACGAAATTTCGATAAGGTACTGGCGCGTATAAATTTCAGCGCGGAATTTATCCGTATGACGAATGCTTGCTTCATTCCCTCTCTCTCTCTCTCTCTTTCTCTCTCTTTCTCTCTCTTACTTTCGTTCTCTTTCGCTTTAGTTCGACTCTTCTCGTTTCTTCTTCTCTCTCTCTCTCTCTTCTTCTTCTCTTTCTTAGACTCCGTCCTAACACCCTCCTTACCCTCCTTACCCCTATTCCTTATCGATGCACGCAACCGCACTTCGGAACGATCAGATCTAACGGTGAATACTTTAAGTGCTTATACCGTGCCGGCGCGTTATTCGTGTTAAGAAGAAAAAGTATCCTACGATAGAAGAGGGAGAAACGACGAGAGACGGCGTTAGAGGAGAAAGAAGAAAAAAAAAATATTTCAGCACTTTCGCCAATGTAAAAATGATAAGAATGTTCTCTCTCTCTTTCTTTCTTTCTCTCTCTCTCTCTCTCTCTCTCTCTCTCTCTCTCTCTCTCTCTCTGTATAATGTCGTCATAAAGACAATGCAAGGGTTATTCCCTCCTAGCCAAATCAAACGATTCCAACTCCGTACTTTGATAATAATCATCGTGGAAACGAGATGATTAGCATAATCGATCTGACAACGTCTAAGTGGAATGTTGTTACACGAGTAACAGCACTTCTCTCTCTCTCTCTCTCTCTCTCTCTCTCTCTCGAAGATCATAGGATGTGAAGCATCTGGTAGTTGTTTACAAGACCGTAGATAGAGTTTTGACAATGAAGGAGTAATTTCCAACTCGACAAGGGATAATTGAACAATTAAGGAAGGTGTCTCGTATTCTATGTCGATTCGATGGAAGACCCGTTTCAGAGAAATCGGCAAAGACTTATCAAGTAAAAGGGAAGAATGGGATAGGTAGTTGATCTAGGGGTAATTAAAAAGTTTGATTACCTTACGACGAGTGATGTTGAACTCACGGTTACAACCCTTGCAATGGGTGACCTGTCGATCGTCCGCCCACGCAGTCCCGCCGCCATCTTGATGCGACTGTCGTTGAGCATTGTCAGCAGCCTCACGTAATTCGACCGTCGCCAGTTTCGCTGCGCTCAACTGCACCCCAAGTTCCTCCAGGGTTCTTTCCTGTTCCGAGCAGATCTCCTTTAACGCATAATACTCCTCCTGCAGCGTTACGTATCTCTGAAATAGACGATTGCATTTCCGTTTTTTTTTCTCTTTCTTTTTTTTTATTCGTTATTTCCTAATTTTTTTGTTTTGTTTTCTTTTTCTCTTTTTTTTTCTCTCTCTCTCTCTTCCGTTTCTTTTATCGTTCGAAAAGGATCCCCCTTAAAGTATAATATTTTAAACATAGCTTAAAAGAAACAAAAAATATATTAAAGTTTCCTTAAGTTTGCTGAAAACTTTATTACGGGATTTTATTAGAGAAAAGAAAAAGAAAAAGGGGGAAAAGAAAAAACAAAGAAAAACTAAAAGAAAAATAAAAAATAAATATTTCGTACTTCTGACATTTGCTTCAGCTGATCGTTTTCTTGGCGTAATTGAGAAATCCTTTCTGCATTGGAGATCGATGATTCCTGTAGGGACGTTCTCCATTCTCGTTCCATATGTAGTTCCCTCTCAATGTCCTTAGCTCGGGCTGTCCTCTCGGCTGCCTCGGCAGCTAGGAACTTAGCCTTCTCCTCGGTCCTTGCTCTAACTCCGTCCAATTCCTTGCGCCTAATTAAGTCACATCGCTCGACCTTAATTCTTAAAAGCATTGGCTCTTTTTAACGGAACAAGTAACGTAACTTAACGTAATTATGTCGACGATGAATACGCGTAATGATCCTAAATGTAATTGTGATGAATGAGCGTGGACGAAAAGTGAAAGTAATTTAGCCCGGGGACCGATAAAGGAGAAAATCTTTCTCCGCCCTTTAAAAAAAAAAAAAAGGAAAAGAAAAAAAAAAAGAAAAAAAGATAGAACAAAAAAGTTGTATTTATGGAACTGTTTTGCGACTCGTTAATTACCACGATATTAATTACTCTCGTATATTTTCATGAAAATTCATTTAAACTATTACACCGAGAGAAAGAGAGAGAGAGAGAGAGAGAGAGAAAGAGAGATTCGAATACGAAGTTGCATCGATTTTCAAGGATTTTCTTCAACTTGTGCGTTTAATTGGCTACGATCTAAGACAATGGGAACACTAAAACTAGTTAAGTCTTACTAATCGCTCTCTGCATATCGGTGGGAACCATTGAAAGAAGTCGAATTAACGTGACAGAATAGAGAGAAAGCCTTTAGGATACTCGATTTGATTCTGTAATCTTGTTATTTCAATAATTTTAATAATATTATTTCAAAGATTGAATGTATAATAATAAGAGGAAAATTTTGAAATCTTCCATTTAAAGTTATTCATTCGAACTCATACACTCACTCGCTTTCTCTCTCTCTCTCTCTCTCTCTCTCTCTCTCTCTCTCTCTCCCTCTCTGTCTCTCTTTTTCTCTTTCTTTCACTTTTATTTAATTATTCAGAAGGACGTATTGTTTCAAAAGCGACATGGGAAGTCCGAACGTTTTGTTCAATAATAAGCAATTGAAATCATACCGTGGAAATAAAATCCATCGGCTTAATGTCGGACTTCGATTTTCTCTCTACTTTTTCTCTATAGTTACTAATATTTAATATACTGGACTTACCTTCTATTAACGTGGTACAAACGATCCCCGTATCTCGTAATAAATGAAAAATTTTAATAACAAAGAAAATATAAAAAACAGTTTGATCGACTATAAGGATTAACAAACTTCATAATCTTTTTATTTGATGATTTTATTGTTTGTAGCAATTAGTACAAGCATGCTCAGTGTCTCGGTGCAAATCGTGACAACCACATAGCTCAATGCTTATACAATAAATGGTATCTCCGATTAAATTGATCATCGAGAATATTTCATTCGAACGATACGATGCAATTTCGATGATATTCAATGTCAATACGTTCGAGCAAACGAACGATACGATATTTTTATTGCTCGATCGATAAGATAATATTTACGAAAAGAAGAACGATCGCAAATTCAGTTCCTTAAATACAAAAACATTTTCTTTCGAACGATGGAAAAATAATGAATGATGAGAAATACAATTAGTTTATGTAGAACTATATTTTACTATGATCTCGGCAGAAATCGCCTAATTGAGTATAAATCTACTTGATTATTGCGAAAGACATTATCATATAATATATATATATATATATATATATATATATATGTATATGTATATGTATATATATATATATATATATTTATATATCGTATATTTTGATAATCCTAATTATATGTTATATACCAAGGTAAGTCTTATCGAGTAGCCATTAGTGAAGGTTTGCCAATATCCCCATCACGAGATTTCAATGTAGCAATGTAGCGTCATCTTTTCAGCTACGTATCCTATTTCTTTTGAATCGATTTTTCAATGGTACTTCCACATAAAAAATAAGTACTCGATAGTCATATAGCTTTTCAATGAATCACAAATGCACGATCGTCGTACGTGATCAGATAGAAATTGGCCGTTCGATAAAGCAACAGATTAATGACAAATTTAATATATCAATCATTAGATATTTAAATTTTGTCTATCGCAATTATTTGATTAATAAATAAATGAAAAATTTTTTTTTCAATAGGTATAATTACGAAATAGATATTAACGGATCAAATATATAAAACAATCGATTGGATATTGACGAAACAATAGAAATTCATATTGTAATGATCGAATAAACGCAATATATACAATCTTAACAATAATGAAAGACAAACAAACGTACTGTTCATCCAGTTTCTGGAATGTCTCAGTCATCGACACTGTCTTAGCCTCCAGTTTTTTGATCAGTTCTGTCTTATGATTAAGAGAAGCTTCGCATTCCTGAAATAAATTCTTCTTCAGTATAAGAGAGAAAAAAAAGAAACGAGTTCTTCGAGATCGAAATAAATATGAAATCCGATGGAATCAGAAAAAGAAGAAAATTAGAAATCGAATAGCCGCGTACTTGTGTTTCTTCTTGAGAAATATTAGATAATAGAGGGACTCGCAGAAAACTATTCTCGGGATTATTGTCCTGTATAATCCTGCGCCTGTATAGAGATAAAACGTTTCATGGTTGTAGATTTTCCTCTCAATTTCGGCGCATATTATCTCGAAGAGATATGAACTATTCGAATCGATGCTCGCGATCGAACGTCGAGCGAGAGATATGATATAATCGATGAAACGCGCGAATACAACGTGTAAAAAGGAGCGCATATAGGAAAGCGACATTTCGCGCGATAAGCGAGAAGGTCGAAATTGCGATGAAATTGCGATGAAATTGCGATGAAATTGGCGATGTAGTATCGCTTATTACGTCGTGTAGAAAAAGGAGATTTCTAACAAGTAGACTCGCTAAGAGAATTGACGAAACGAAGAATGTCTTCATTCTTTAACGGGCTTTTTCTCGTTAATAACATTCGTAGAGACAACGTCGTCGTTGGATTTGCTCCTTTTAGATTTTTCACACGATTCTTTCGCCCGTTTATTATCGATGTTACGTTGCTGATGATCGCCTGACGTTCGATCGGCCCCAACATTTTCCGTTCCAAATGCCGAACCTCTCGGCGAGGTCGGACTGTTTTTGTTTAGAATCGACTTCGATGCGTTACACGGCGTTGTCGGACTCCGAACATTTTCTCCATCCTTCATCAGGTGATTGTACTTCTCGAGATTATTCAGAATCTTGCCGATCTGATTGGTCTTGGCGTGAAGCCGGCTCACCATCTCGCCCTTCTGCGTCAGCTCGTGCTCGCACTCCTACAAGGGAAACACATCCAGAAACAGAGAATAGAGAGACGCCTAGTCTTACGCTTTGAACGAACGAAAAGAAACAAAAGAAGACCTAAGTGCCGCGAGTATTCGGGCTTGCCCCTCGTAGGACTCCCTGTACCTGATAAAATCTGAAACGTGAGTTAAAAAAAGGAGATTAGACTGCCGAGAGGTTCCGTTCGAGGGCCTAACCTTAACTAACATTCCACTTTCTACTTATCCATTGCCAAGTAGTACGTATTCCGTATAAACAAATCAAAAGAAAATCTCGTTTATGATAATAAACGTAAATATAAACTAATTATTCCTCTACGAACGCGTGTTATTGTAAAAAATTAATTATTAGTCATATATTTTCTTAGATTCATCCTAAGATCAATTGGTTTTGTTAATGAAACATTTCAAGAAATCGTAGGATTAAACTTTGCTTATCAGGAAAAACGATTCGAATCACCTGTAATTTTTTGTACATCTCCAAATTGATCAGCTTGATGTCGTCGAGTTGTTGCCTAAGCGATATTATGGTGTCCTGTTTCTCGTGGATGTCTTTCTCTAACAATTTCATCGCCACCTCCATCTCCGACTTCATGCTTATCTATTTCGAGATCGTTCATTTTATTGAAAAGCATAATCTCAACGAATAATTTTTATTTCGATTGGATTAAAAAAAGAAAAAAAAACAACAACAACAACGCGGACCTGTAATTGCAATTCCTTCTCTGTGTCCTGTCGTAATTTCTTCTCTGATTCGAGTCTACTTCTAAGCTCTTCGATTTCCGTCGTAGTTTCAGTTATTTTAATAGGAGCCTTGCCATTCTAAAAGAAAAATATACCAAATAACCTCTAATCGCAAAATTACACGTTCATCTACCGATTAAGAAGAATACCTCATTAGGATCCTTGATTTCTATCCCTAATTCTTTTTTAAGCTGTCTGTTTTCCTCTTGAAGCGATAGAAAATTATTCTTTGCAATAGACAGATCTTCTTTCATTAAAGCATTCGTCGTAGTTAAAGTTTCAAGTTTGGCTTGAAGATTTGTCACAGTGGCGCTAAAAATGTCATTTTTATTTGTAACCGATCGTTTCATTCTAATAATCATTAAGGGAATCATTAATTATCGATAATGGATTTACTTCAAGTGCCGATTTAATTCCTCGATATAATTCTTTTGATCAAGAACAGTCGTCATGTTGTCATTCTCAAGCTCGTCGTCAGGTGATTCTCCAGGTATATGATTGCTATTGCGCAAATATAACGAAAAATCGATCACACCTTGTTGACAATCGAGATCTTCTTCCTATCGCGAGATAGATATAGAGTTCGATATATTAATTTGATTTTAATGATTTCTGTTGTATTGTTTTTATGTTTGTTTGTTTGTCTGTTTTCTTGTTTGTTTGTATATATAATATGTATGTTTGTTCGTTTTCTATGAACTAACCTTTACGCAGAAATTGCAATCGATCACATTCAAACCCACCAACAAACCCATTACCACGATAGCCTCTTCGCTCATCATAAGAGCGTCTGGCTCAAAATATTCAGACAAAATGTCGTCCTTATGATCGATCAAAATCTTTAGGTAGTCTGCTAACTTCTTTTGCATGAGTGCCATACGAAGCCAGGCACGCGCCCGACCCATGGCAGTTCTGAAAATAATGATGCTCTGAAAAATGATCGAACCGGACAAATAGGAATATGCAATGATTCAAAACCAGAAAAGAACAATATTATCTTAATTCATTTTAAAACGTAAGCCGTAATCAATTAGATTTTAGCAAAAACAATTAGAAATATTTAATATCAAAAATCTTTTAAAGTAAATAAAAAATATGTTGATTAGTAATTTATTTAGATTGTCTTTTTTCGATATTTATGTTATATTTTAAAATTGAAACTATTTCTTCAAACTCATATCTTGGCAAGATAATTGTCGACAAGATAATACATCATTTATATTATAAATTAAGGAATTATAACTTAAATGCTAGAGATTATTCAAATAAACGATTAACGAAACAATTTCAATTTTGATATCAATGCATATTCCCATTAAAAGATAACGCGAAGAATATTCGAGAAAATGATAAAAAAAAAAAAAAAGAAAAAAAAAAAGAAAAAAAAGAAAAAAAAAAGAAAGTATGAAACGCGTGGTACCTAACCGTCGGCAAATCGCGAATACTTGATGTAATATCTTGCGCTTCAGGACAGTATTTCTCCACCAGCTGAAGGATGTCCCAAAGCTCCTTCTTGGGTCCAAGTAAACCCTGCAATCGAAGTTGAATCGTCGTTAATTGATCGATACGATCACTTCGATCTTACTCCTTTACCTTCTTCGGTCGTAAACCGTGCCTGAGTACATGCTCGAGAACGATGAAAAAATGTTGCAGAGGCATATGATCCGAATCGAGCATGCGGCCATATTTTAAAGAAGTTTCGATGAGCTCTTTCACGATCAATTTTGAAATATTTACGAGATTACTCCTTTCGATGATCACCGGGTCTCGTGCTGCAAAAATATTCCTTCCGTTTTCATCTTTCATTATTTTCAATGTTCAAAGTTCTTTATCTCCCCTTTTATTCTCTCTCTCTCTCTCCCCCTCTCTCTCTCTCTCTCTCTCTCTCTTTCTCTCTCTCTCTTGTATTCGTTCGTGTAATTTTAAATTTGCCAATTATGATTCGACTTACATTATGAAAAGCGCAAAGCGTTAGGCGCAAAAGCATACGTGAATAGATATAGTTTTTTTGTTTTTCTTATTTTTTTTTTTTTTTTTTTTTTTTTTTTTCTTGGAAAAGATAAATAAGAATCATGATTGATTCGAGTTGATTGAAAAAAAGCACGATAGTAATTCATGCAAAATGCGGAAAGACGTGCAAGCGGAATAGTGCAATCGTTGATGTAAATAGAGTGTTCGCGTGACTCGTGCTTGATGATATAGACAATATTGTGAAAGCGAGACCGTATTAAAAGTATGAAGCATGTAAAAACATACGAAATCGATAGAAAGACTCGTGGCCACGTGGTGAATCATATTTTAGATTATCTTCTCGTAAGATCTTTCGCCAAAAAAAAAAAAAAAAAAAAAAAAAAAGGAAAGAAAGAAAATGAATTCGCTGTCAGCTTCGAATATAAGAAAAATTTCCAAATTTTAATGATGGATATTTAATGACGAACACCGTTAAAAAGAAATGGATTGACGTGAAATATAATAAGGAATAAGTATGATGGAATAAGTATGGTGGAGGACGAAAAGGATGCTGAAAGAGGAAAAGAAAGAAGAAGAAGAAGAAGCAGAAGAGTACAGACACAAGCTTGAGACGTGACGCAATGGCGGCGGTGGACTTGGCGGTAATGCATCGCGAAAATCCCGCTGCTCGGGTAACAGCTGTTGCCGATGACGATGAGGATCAATACCACTAAGAGGTAACGGTGGCGAAGGCGAACGTTGTATCGAGTCTTGTAATGAAAACTCAACGTCCTGAAGTTCCTTTAAACAGAGCCACTCGCCATCAACGGACACGCGAAAATTGCAAAGGTAAATCGTGTCCTGGGCACCGGCCATGTCCTCTTCGAGCATGACCCCGCCGTGATGAAGACCACCGTGATCGACCGGAGGTCGCGTTTTCAAGCCGCTCTGGGGTTCTTGCCGCATAGAAGATCCTTCCAGAAAAACCCAATGTCTTTTCTCTTTCTCTTTTCTCACCTATGACCTCGAGACTTTATCGATCGAATACAATCAACTTGATATTACGAACTCGTTCCGCAATGCAGACAGATTAATTCTTCTTTTTTTCTTCTTTTTTTCTTAATCCTTCCACAATATTATTCTTCAAATGTCTCTCAAATCGCATCCACTTTAGGATAAATATTAGGATGATCTTTTAATATATCTTGTTTATTCAAACAAATGTTTCACCTCGCATTGAAACATCTTTGCGAATTATAAAAAATATTTCATTGGTTAATATCCGAAAATATCGTAATAACATCGTAACTGCGTTTCTCGTACGTTTTAAAACTTCAACGTTTAGTTTTATTAAATCGTATTATTCCCAAAATATTACGTCTAAAGTACCGTCGAATGCTTGATGATACACGTTACGTCGTCGTTGGAACATTTCACGATGAAAATGGCGTATTCGCCGGCGCAAAAGAATTATTGATTTTCCCGCCGATGTTACCTCCACCTAAGATAATCGATAGTTATGATAGCGACCCTAACGACATCTCTCGACGGATCTCACTTATTATATAACGATGAATAATCCAGCATGTCGGTAAGACATCAACGCGAGGTCAAAATTAATCTCGTCAAACTTATCGCAAATTTGACGATAAGAATACATAAAAACCATGTCAAATTTTCACCCACATACTCATATACACACATACACACACACATATATATATAAATATATGTATTATCAACATCAGTTTCAGCATTATATCTATATCGTTAATATTGCACAAATTAATGAGTATTCTATTTGGATTGAAAAAAAAAAGAGAGAGAAATGCACTCTTTCTAAAAATCGTGTAACTTTTTTTTTTTTTTTTTTTTTATACTTGACAAAAATAATAAGAAAAATCATTGAAATGTTTAGCGTCGTAATCTGATTAGTTACTCGATATAAACGCGCGGAATTTTGAATGTATATTTAAAAAATCCCGCCAAAATTGCCCAATTATGGGCAGCGCATGAGCCTGAAGAAAAAAAAGATAGCGCTCGCGTCGTTCGACTCTGTTTGGTATGTTGTTTGTACTTACGTCTCGGCGACCACCAGGCGTCCAATTTTTTAGGTCTCGATACCACCAAATCTGGCCATTTATCTTCTCGTATGGAATAACTCGAGGGTGAACGTGAAACGATTTTTTCATTTTCATCAGACACTAAACTACCGGTCAACGATTTCTCGGACGGAGATATTGGCAAACCTTCGCTGCTCTCCGCGGCCATGTTTACTACGTAGCCACTGTCCCGGCACGAACGCGCGCACGCCCAACGATTTCATAACTTGTATTCGTATGTGCTTTCATATATATATATATGTATGTGCGCGTGTGTGTGTGTGTATAGGAACGCCTGTATGTATATTATCAGCGTTACACTGAAGCTGATTCGTTTCAATCACGTTTCCATTTCCTATTTTCATATCAATAATTTTTTTACATGAAGTTTCTCCTGCATCCCATTCGATTGGATCTTTTCAAAGATATACATTCCATTTTAGATAACAAAATAAATATTGAAATGATAATATTTTCTTTCTTTTTTTTTTCTACTTTTTTTTTCTACTTTTTTTTTCTTTTTTTTTCTTTTTTTTTCTTATTTTTATCTTTATCATACAAATGTAAAATATTCTAACAAAAATATATATATAAATACATCGTTAATTATTATCTATTTTGTTTTAATGCGACTTCATTTTGTCATATATATTAAATATCACGTACGAGTATTGGAAATTATTTAAAAGTAAGTAAATGATTGATTAAATCAGTCTCTGTCGATCGTTTCTCTATGTACAACAATAAGAAGCGTCTTCTGTATTTTGTTTAATCCAAGTAAGATAGCGATTTACTCGAGTATAAACTCCAGGATACATAGGTTTTGCACATCCTTCGCCCCATGAGACTACACCTATAAAAAAAATGTATGAGAAAAATTTTAATGAGTTAAAATAAATTTTAAGTAATTTATTTCATATAAAAAAAAAGAAAAAAAAAAAAAAAGAAAATTTTCTTTTACCAACTATGTGATGTACATTATCGTTAAGGACATGTAATGGACCACCACTGTCACCCTAAAAAAAAAAATTCGACACGATCGATGATAAACGATCAACGATTAATCATCGATCATAATGATCAATTAAAAGAACTTTTGATATACTTGACAAGAATCCTTGCTTCCTCCCGCGTATCCCGCACAGATCATATTATCAGTGATCCTTCTCGATGGATAATTCGTTGTACGACATTCAGCGTTACTAAGTATAGGGACCATAACTTCTTGCAAAGTATTTGAAATAGGTCCTGATTCATGAATAGCGCCCCATCCAGTTACGATGCCTATTGATCCGCTATACGTTTTTCCTAAAAAAAAAATTTTTTTTTTAAATTAAAAAAAAAAAGATCTCATTTTTTAGAAATTCCATTTGTATCATCCTAAATTGATTTCTTTCTTAACACTTTCGCGATCGATTACATGCTGTTACGACTTTTTGAAAATTAATACAATTGACAGTAAGCAATTTTTAGTTATACATTGTTAACAAAAAAAAATTTATATAAAATAATATCATTGAATATAACACGTTAGGGATATCAAATGTTGATATACAATTTGTATTTGAAAATGAATCAAAAAAAAAAAAGTAATCTCAAAAATGTACCTTTCTCCGGCAAACATACTGGTCTCATTAAACCTTTGAACATGACAACATCGTTCAATTTGAGCAAAGCAATATCATTGTTGTAATTAACGATAGAATAACCACTGTGTTTTATAACTTGTTCCACTTTGTATTCTTGGATTTGAGATTCGATCGTCGAATTTTGATCGTGTTCCAAAAGAACGACGGACATTAAACTCGGCTCAAACCTATAGAGAAATCGTACGATTAAATCGATTCTGAAAAATTACAAATAGTATCGATACGATAGGATGTGACGTCATCGTACCTGTCGACACAGTGAGCTGCAGTTAAAACGTATCTAGAATTTATAATAGATCCACCGCAATAGAAACGTTTCTTATATTTCAACAATGCCATCCATGGATATTGATTTACTTTTGTTTCAACACCACCGACAATTCGTTTCTGTGTATTGGTCAAACCACAAGCTGAAAAGTCAAATGATCGATATAATCCTTTAAGTACGATCTAACAAAAAAAAAAAAAAAAAAAAAAAAGAAAAAAAATTTAAATATAATTTTTACATACTACAAGAAGAACATTCCTCAGGTTCTATTATCGGTGGCGATATCGTCGTTGTTGTTGGTTTACCGAGTAAAGTATAAATCCAATCCCAAAATCCTTTATCATCAGTTATGTTTGTAACTTTGCTAGTAAAGTTGTATACCTCGTTTGATAACACCGACCTTGTCTATAAGAATTATAAAAGAGAATTTTTATTACGTGAACCGATTTATCATCACGTGAAAATGAATCTTTTAATATATATGTATATATATATATATATACCTCGTTATCAGATACTGTAGCAAATACGCCGACCGATATTGCTACGAATAAAAGCAATACGTACATTATCCCTTGCACCATTTCATGCACAAAACACAAATCGATCACTCCTATGTTATTCGACACTTCAAGAGGTACTTTAATATATCCCGGGCCAATCGATACTAAACGCTACCGAGCGTTCACTACAGCGCATACTTTCACACAAGGCTCGGCTTCCGTCTCACAACTTTATTTATACGAAATAGTGGATGGACGAGTGGCAGGAGAGTGAAAATTTAGGCTAGGCGTATGCAAATTTAGCACAAACAACCGGATAGATACATACGATACCCTATCCACGACCGGCTAAAGCCGAGTATAAACGTTAAAGATTCGCCGTCTCTTTATTCGTGATTTCTCTAAGACGAAGAAAGAGATTAAAAAAAAAGAAAAAAAAGAAAAAATTAAAAAAGAAAAAAAGAATCTAAGGACGAGTGACCCAAATAATGGCAACGACGTTAATCGCTCGTTGCTTCAAGTTTCTCTGCTCCTCTTTTTTCTTCTTGTTTTTTTTTTCTTTCTTTTTCATTTCTTTTTATTAGGATCCCATTGAAATAGGCCGTCGTACATTCTTCTTCTCTTCTCTTCTCTTCTCTTCTCTGTTCTTCTATTCTTGTTTTCTTTTTGTTTTTTTTTTGTTTTACGAGCAAGAAGAAACAAAACCATCGTCGAAATGGAACGATCACTTCGAGATCGATCGACCGAGCGTAAAAACGAGCACGCCTTCGTCCTTTCTCGCTCGTTAATCTTCGATAGCCAAGAAGGTCGACGCAGCGAACGTAGAATCTACCTTATCAGAGCTTCGGTTTGAACAAAGTATTCGAGATAAGATGCGTCAGAACGAATGACTGTGCCCCACCTGTAACGCATGCCAGTGGGTCAAGGTATTTGGGTCATAACACCCTCATGCGGGCGATACACCTTACTTTATTGTTTCAACGTTTAACTAAATTTATCAGAGGAGCCTCGCCTTATTTATATTGCATTCATCTCAGTAAGATCTGATTACGTTAATGTACGAGAATATATAGTGATATGATGAAAAAGACAAATTATCTGAATAGTATTTATATAAGTATTAATTAATTAATCCATTTGTGATGATAAGATTCAATAATCATCGTTAATTCTTACGATAATAAATACACTCAATAATTTAGATACGAATTATATCCACTTTCTTTTTACTTATTATGTTTCAGATATGAATGACATGTGTACACAGATAGTTATATTCACGAGACCGATAACGCGCGTATATATACTCGGAGAAGTAATTCAATTCGAATTCAATGAATATTAATTCGTTGATTGCAAGGGAAACTTGACCGAAATCATCTTTCGGTTAATGGGTTAATGCCATTAATGAACGTCGTAAAATTTCATCGTTATTTTTCATTGTGTGACAGTTCTAACGAGCAAGAAAGTTTCATCTTGGGTCGTTACGAAAGCGATATAAAAGATCTTTCTTAAGAGAATCGAATCGCGATCCAAAATTGGCCATTTAATTTTCCTTACTATCTTCAATGCAGACTTATCGAACAGAGAAAGAGAGAGAGAGAGAGAGAGAGAGAGAGAGAAAAGAAAAAAAACAAAAAAAAAAGAAAAAAAACAGTTTGTAAGTGAAAGTAAAATCACTGCGATGAAAGAACACGAGAAGTCTCTCTGGTGCATATCGAAGTTCCGTTTATGGAAAGTTATACAATATTTAAGTAGGTACCTAATTTACACCATCCATGAAAGAGTATTATCTTCGATGGAAATTTCCAATGCCCACGCTCTCCCTTGATCGTTCTCAACGTTCACAATTTTCATCATTCAGAGGAAATCATTGAATTTATTCTGATCATAAATTAATGATAATTACTTGCAGATCGAATCCTAACTAATGGTTTCTATAGTACCGGTTACTTCTTTAAGATCATGAAAAATGAATTGTCAAGGGGACGAAGCTTTTAACGGAAATATGAACTTCCATTTTACGAAAAAAGGGATCAAAATGAAATAATTCATAACTACGATACGATTCGGGAAGTGGTTGGAAAGAAACGTTTGACGAGAGCATTCACTTAGGTGCTTGACGAAATAAAGAAAAAAAAAAAAAAAGAGAGAGATAAAAAGAAAAAAAGGAATGACAAGTACAATGAAAGACTAAAAGCGTATAAAAAAGGAGATATATATACACACATACACACACACACACACACACACATATATATATATATATATATATATATATATATTTACAGAGATTTACATACCCTAGATATGTTCTTCGTTGATAAAAAAGCAAAGAAAAAAAAAGGTCCATATTGTATTAATATAATAATTCACAAAAAATATCAAACGAAATGAAAAGAAAAATAAGATCGACGTTCTCATAGCCGACGATAAATTGAATAACTCGCGCTAACTTTCTCGCGATCTTGGTCGTCGTCTCTGACGAAATTGACATTGATCCAGTCTCGTGGATCCCTGAGAAAGAAGGGCGGAAAAGAAGAGGAGTGGAAAAGAAGAGATCGTTTGACATTGGTCGTTTACGATGGTAGTCGGATGATCGTATTGCGCCATCGCAATGATGAGACGAAGATACTTACGTACAACATACTTACTTACTTACATATAGTCTACGTAGAAATTTTTTCGCGTCTCATACGAAACAAGAGAGTCGAGGATGAGTGCGCAGGTGAGACGACGCCGACCGGGTGATTTAAAAGCTGTCACATGCAACATCTGCCAATGCAAACGCACCACTCAAGGCTACCGATCCCCACCTACAGCCATGCTTCATTAGTTATAATTTAGTATAAAACGGCAAAACTTCGACGACACCTTTAATACCTTTTCACACCTGGCATAAGTACGTAAACACTGCGTCAAAGTCCGTGCCCTACGTGTAACGCATCGAATTCACGCATACCAGACGTATATCGCGCAAATTTATTATATACGTTCGATCGAGATTTTAATCAGAAATAATTATGAATTGTCACGTGAAAATACCATACAAAATCATGCTCCTGTTATGTCTACATTTTTGCGTTTACGCCCTCCCACGCGCGGTAAGTGATTAAGGATCATCTTCTTAGTTTTTTTTTTCGTCCTTTCTTCTTCTTTTTTCTTTCTTCTCTTTTCTTTTTTGTTTCTTCTTGTTTACTTTCAACTTTTTCATTTTCATCATTTCAACGACATCTTTCTTTCTTCATCTATCTTGATAGTTATCTATAATTATAATTAATAATATATTTCGTTTGAATCAGCTAAAATGCTTTTTCTTTATTTTTATTCTTATCATTACATTTTCTTTATAATTTATTATACTTCATATGTATATTCATATATATATATATATATATATATATATATATATATATATGTATAGATTTATATTTACAAAATTCAAACTTTTATCTATCTATATATCTATCTTTCTATATCAATCTGTTCACTTCTATATTTATAATAATACTGCATCTCGAGTCATCTTATTATATTAAATGCCTTATAATTTTCTTTTAATAAATATATGATTATGAGAGTTTAACGAATAATAATATTCGTATAAATATTTTTTAAATGTTATAACAAACGTCAAAGAGATCTCATTGATTATTTAACATTAGAAAAATAATGAATTCCAAGTATTAATACAATTAATTTCAATATCTATGCAACAGATCGTTTTTTCTCGTTGCAGGTGTTGCAGAAAGATAAAAGCACTTTATCTACTACAACGAATGTTCAGATGCACGCCGATGGTAGAAACACCGGCTTTAGTGGTCCCTCGATAATAGACGATATGTCTTACATCGATTATGATCCATCGAATAAAATCCCATCAAAAAGACCGAACGTTTGCAACGACTGTGGTAATTAAAAAATATATAAAAGATGAAAAAAAAAAAAAAATAAAAAAATAAAAAAAAAAGAAAGAAAGAAAGAAAGAAAGAAAATATAAACGAATTAAAAATCTTCTTCGAAATATTTACAAGAAAATTCAATATTGTTATTTCAGTTTGCGGAATCGGTAGAAAGACAAGAATAGTAGGTGGAAACGAAACCAGTGTTTTTGAATATCCATGGTTGGTCAGTATGAGCAAACAGGGTGTATTCTATTGCGCTGGAAGTTTGATAACACGAAGGCACATTTTAACAGCTGCCCATTGCTTGGAAGGGTAGGCATAATATTTTTTAACAAAGTTTAATATTCTTTACAAGAATTAATAAAAAATTTTTGTAAAAATTTACAGATTCGAGACGAAGAGTATCAAACTAGTGATAGCTGATAGTGACCGAATGAAGCTCGCATCTACTGCCATAGTTCGTCGCATAAAATCCGTAACTATTCACGAAGAATTCCATACGTATAATTTTAACAATGACATTGCTCTTATAGAAATGGATAGACCAGTTTCGTTAGATAGTATCATTCGTACGGCTTGTTTGCCTGAGGACAGTGAGTAAACGTTCCAAGTTTGAGAATTAATTAATAAATTTTCCGAATAATTTGTTTTATTACAGAAGCCATAGATTATACCGGTGCAATGGCTACGGTGGTTGGCTGGGGACGTACTGGTGAAAATAAACCGGTTAGCGATGAATTACGTAAAGTTAATGTTCCGATCTTGTCTCAGGAGGAATGTGATCAAGCTGGATATCAAAAGAATCGTCTTACCGACAATATGTTCTGCGCTGGATATCTCGATGGAAAACGCGACGCATGTTTCGTAAGTGAATTCAATAAGGAAAGAAAAAAAAAAAAAGCAAAAAAAAAATAAATAAGTGTAAAAAAAATTAAATATAAATCGTAATCTTACGTGTCTTATCTGTAATTGAAGGGTGACAGTGGTGGTCCTCTTCACGTCAAAGGATCTTATGGCCATTTGGAAGTAATCGGTAAGTAAAAAATATAATAAAATATATAAATAATATTTCATTTATATAAATATTATATAGGTATAATATCTTGGGGTCGTGGTTGCGCGAGGCCAAATTTTCCTGGAATATATACAAAATTAAACAATTACATGGGTTGGCTAAAGGATCATCTTGGTAACGAATGTGTATGTCCGCCCCCGCATTCTCTTTAAAACTTAAAAAATCATATTTTAGAAACGTTTAAAAGGACAGCTCGAGTTATACAAGAGCTTGTCGTTCGTCTGATCTCAAAAATACAAAAGTCAATGTTAGAAATCGTGAAGACATTGAAGAACGTAAAATTCCTTAGTATTATTATTTTATATATATTAAGTAACGCTAATGTAACTATAAAAATCTAGTCGTATATATATATATATATATATATATATACATATATGTATATAGTATTATTTAGAAACGCAATCGACGTCTCGTTTCCTTAATGATATTTATTAAATAAAGATTATAATGAAAATATCGATTATCTTTTTCATATTTTGATATAAGTACTTCTAACTTAGCGGAAGAAACGTTTTGAAAGGGACGTGAAGGCGACAATAACGAAAAACCGGGTCACTAGTCTGAAACGTTTTGCTTTCAACGAGCGAAATGTGGGTTAGTGAAACCATCGAACCGTTACCAAGAACGCAAGATTCTTCCGAATCGAGAATTGTCAATGTCTACGATGCAGTATCGAACGTAATAAGTACGCAATAATTCTCAACTATTCTGAACACGGAAGAAAGTATTTCATAAAGTACGATTATCTTCGTAATTTTATATCTAAGTATGTCTTATATCTTACTATAGAAAAAGATTATATCAAATCTTTCATATTTCAAAAATTTCAATGGATATTTGATCGAACGATTCTATCGATAAATTTTAATCATTTTTTAATATAACAATAAAAACATATCCCCTCCTCCCCACCCCCCAAATAATTCGTTTCCAAAGCATTCCTTACGAAAGAGAAATTTATCAAAAGTAGTACATGAATGTGTCTCGAATTTCGAGAGTGGGGTTACCAGTTACAATAGGATGACTCTAACGTCTCGAGCGTATATATCATGGTGGGAAATAGCGATAGTAGAGAGTGACTATGATGGATGTATTTGAGACAAGGCTGTAAAGATTAGTTCTCGTCTAGTCTCTGTTCGGTGTAAGAGCTAAGTGTTATTAGTAAGAAAATTGTGAGTCTAGTCTGTCTCTTCGTATTGAATTATAATCCATGTGGAAAGTAAAAACCTTAGGGAAAAAATATAAGTTAGAAAAAGAAGATCACTGAGATACATATATATATAAAATCACCAAGTATATATATACGTATATATAAAGAGAGAGATGGAGAGAGAGGAAGGGATAATATCGGCTGTCAATGAGTGGTACAATGCTTGACGATTACAAACTTTTTCTTCATTGGAGAAAAAGATATGAAAGTGACGAAATTTGTAAAAGGAATAACGAGTCGACACGCGACACATACTGAATGAAATAGAGAAAAGAGTGGCAACAAATCGATAGAGTGGAAGAAGAACTTTCTTTGCGAGCGTAAAGAGTCAGGCTGAGCCTTGATCGACCAGTTTACTGTCTTTTTGGTGCCACGGTGAAAGCGTCTGCAGTGAGCTCGATCATCGCAAATCTCACAACTTCTGCTTACCTTTCGGGAATCATTAAACGAATATTTTTCTACTTTATGTATATATGTATATATACATATATATGTATATATATATATATATGTATATATATATATATATAAATATCTCTTTACTTTCCTGTGTTTAATCAACTAACGGATACGAACAGATACAAAACGTGCGATCCGATGTGAGATCGTTCAGACGAACATGAATAAACGTCAAGTGTTAAACGTGTGCAATCGATAAAAAAAAAATCGATTAGGTATATTTCAAAGAATATCTTGTGCTACGAAAGATGAACTTCCGTTTGTTGAAGTTCAAGATCTTTATCCTCTTTCTCGTTATGTTAAAGGAAGTATACGCTAAAAGTTTTGACCTTGAATCTTCGACGTTGAATAAAACCGTGAGTATTATTTTCAGATCCTTCGATTGAATTATTTTATATTGATATTGGAATATATCACTTTATCGATGACTTTTTTTTTCATTCGGTTTCAATAATTAATTAATTCTTTTAAAAAGCATACATCAAATTTTCTTATTAATTTATCGAATTATGTCAAATTATGCGTGTATATATATATATATATATATATATATACTCGCATAAGGATAAAACCTTTGCTTAGCGATGTAAATGATTTTGTGAGAGTTAGACCTTGACCTACAATTCGAATCATTGTCACTTTCCCTCGTCTGGCACGTTCCTGTCAATAATTTGCTTTGAAAAGTGAGCGTACTTCCCGCATAGATATTACCTCGTATTTCTTTTTTGTTTCTTCTTTTTTTTTTTTCTACTTTATTTCTTTCAGCAACCTAATAATCGTACTGGAAAATTTCTGTTCGATGAATTATTTGGCGTCGATATCACTGGTGGTGCCGATGACGATGAAAAGCTTCGAAATTGTACATGCGGTAAAACTCGTTTTCATTTAACAATTTTCAAAAGAATCAAAAAAATCCCCCAAAAAAAATCCCCCCTCAAAAAAAAAAAAGAAAAATAAAATAAAATATAAAAAGAGAAGTGTATATTTTCGTAAAATTTCGAAATCGTCTTTTTTTCTTGTTTTTTTTTTTTTTTTTTATCAGAATGTGGTATAACTAATAAAGAAAATCGTATCGTTGGTGGACGACCAACGATACCAAACAGATATCCATGGATCGCTCGTTTGGTTTACGATGGACGCTTTCATTGTGGCGCCAGTCTAATTAATAATGATTATGTCATTACAGCTGCTCATTGTGTACGAAAGTATGTATTAAAACAGATAAATGATCGATCATAAAGAACGAATAATGTTACGAATTGTGTTCACTGTTTTATTTTCTTTCAGTTTGAAACGATCGAAAATTCGTGTTGTACTCGGTGATTATGATCAATATGTGAATACCGATGGTGTTGCTATAATGAGAGCAGTTAGTTCCGTGATACGTCATCGAAATTTTGACATAAATTCTTATAATCACGATGTGGCTTTGTTAAAGCTTCGTAAGCCCGTCAAATTTTCCAAAACTGTTAGACCTGTTTGTCTACCTCAAGCTGGTATCGTATATTATTACGTTTATTTTATCGATATTAACACATTAACAACCGATAACGTAAAATAATGATTTTCGTAAATTCGTGTTATTCGATATCAGTTTGTATAGAATTACACAGTTAATTAATAATAGATGGTATTAAATTAATAGAATATAATTACGTTTCCAAAATTTATATAATATTTATATTTATATTATATTTAAATTATTTATTTAATATATATATATATTTATTTATTTATTTATTTATTTATTTATGTAAATATAGGTATAAAAAAGTAACAAGTTGTTCGTATAAAATAATAACGATAGATTAGAAATGATATTTAATCGTACAGAATATCGATTGTTAAAGCGTTAAAAAAGGATAATAATTAATATATACATTAATCATATCATATACCTTTTATTTCTTCAGAATCTGATCCTGCTGGCAAAGAAGGTACTGTCATTGGATGGGGACGTACGTCAGAAGGAGGTATGTTGCCAGGAAAGGTTCATGAAGTACAAGTACCTGTATGGAGTTTGACACAGTGTCGGAAAATGAAATACCGTGCAAATAGAATCACTAATAATATGATTTGCGCTGGCAAAGGTACTCAGGATTCTTGCCAAGGTGACAGTGGTGGACCTCTTCTTGTACACGAAGGTGACAGATTGGAAATAGCAGGTAAATTCTATTTAAAAAAAAAATAAATAAATAAATAAATAAATAAATAAATTTATTTAAAAGATTTCTCTATCTATAATTTCTTTACTTTTCCTTGTTAATTTACTATAAAATTATTTATTCTTTAGGTATAGTTTCCTGGGGCGTTGGTTGTGGTAGACCTGGATATCCTGGAGTTTATACTAGAGTTACTAGATACTTGAAATGGATCAACACAAATATAAAGGAAGGATGTCTGTGTATTAATTAATACTCTACCTCGATTTTATTACGACTGAATATTTAAAAGCTTTCATTTTGACGAAATAGAAACGATACTTAAGCAAGGAAATTTTAAAGATGATAGAATGACACAATTTTATCTGCCGTATGTTGAAATACAAACGATTTAAAAAGTTTCTCTGTGAGGGACTTCACACGTATGTATTTATTACGTTAGAATCGTACGGTACAATGGTCAAACGTTCGTGGAATAATACTATCGCATAACGGTTTATTGTCGAATCAGAATGCTTATCGTTCAGTATCAAAAAAAAAAAAAAATAACGTTGATATATATATATATATATATCGTACGATAACGTTAAACATTATTAACGATAAAAAGATATTATTTAATAAATTATTTATAAAATATTCATAATTGCATATTCAACGTCCCACTCTTGATGAGTGGATACATATTAAATCGAATTTTTATAAAAAAATTGATTTTTTTTATTAAACTTTGATAGGAACTTATTAAAACATCCCTATTTCGAATAAAATCGACTTCGTACCGCAGGGTAACTTGCAAACGATACCGGATGACGTACAAAGTATTTACGTATGCATGCGCTTATAGTGAGATCAAAAAGAAGTCGCGTAAACAACTTCCTCCGTTCCACGCGCAGAAATCTACATAATACGTCCTTTCGAGGCAGCTTTTTGGGTTGCCTCGATGAAATACGGTTCCCGAGAGAGATCCAGCCCATTCGTAAGCCTGTTTATAAGCCATTTCAGAGGGTGAACAGGCGAAAAAGTTTATGGCGATCCGAGATAGTCGAATAAAATTGGTATTTTATAGATAACTAAGTGTGTGTCTGTGTATGTAATATACATATATCTGTACGAAATGTAATCTCACTTATAGTATAGGTTAAAAATTGTTTAAAAATATAAGAAGACAATAATAATTAATAATAAAATCTACGAATTATTATTATTATTATTATTATTATTATTATTATTATTATTATTATTATTATTATTATTATTATTATATACATAAACACACACAAATTAATATTATTGTATACGCAAATAAATATTATATATATACATATATATAATTATTATTATATATATATTAAATTAATATTTATTATTACTTATTTACATATATATATATATATATATATATATATAATATATACATTTATTTATATATATATATATTATTCATATTTAGCTAAACTTAAGATTAATTGATAAATAATTCGATCATTCATTCAATGGAAATTTTATTAATTAATTTTAATTTTAAAGAAAAGAGAGAGCTTCCTTTATTAATATATGATATATTACTTTTTTCTTCTTTTTGAAAAGAAAAAATTATTTACACACACATAGCTCCTTCTTAATAACCACTAAATTTGCATTCCTAATTTTGGATAGTATTAATTCGATGGTTCGTCAACAAGAGTTCTTTGTGACTTGTGACTTGACCGTGAACATGAACGTGAACTGATCATGTGTCGTCCGGTCGGCGACCAGTCGGCAGTCGGCCTCCTTCCTTCCCCCCCTCCCTCTTTCCCCGAATACCAATTACTTCTTCGACCTCGCTATTTCTCAGTCTACCTGGGACACTGGCGATAGTAACTGCGTGTCAGGGACATGTCCGTGACTTTATCCTGACGGTCCCCGCGCGGTGACCTTCTATTCTTTCATTAAGAAATCGATTTTGATTTTATCTTTATAAAAGAAAAAAAAAAAAAAAAAAAAATCAAACAAACCAAAAGAAAAGAGAAAAAAGGAAAAGAAAAAAAGAAGATATCATAAATAAGTTTGTTGAAAAATGAAAAAGTTTCTTTGTTATCTCGGATTCATCGTCATTCTTTTAATTCAGAAAGAATGTCAGGTAAGTGTCAATCGATTTGATTCAATTGAAAAAGACAGTATTTTTCTTTTCTCTTTTTTCCTTTTTTATTTATTTATTTATTTCTTTTTTTTTTCCTCTCTTATTAAAACATTTTCATTTAAATGATTTTAGGCAGGACAAATAGGCGAAAATATGAAAAACTTTTTTGGTCTCTTCGGTAACAAACCACCGGACACTAAAGAACCACCTGCGCCATGTTACTGCTGTCAGTAATTTGTATTATTAATTTATATAAAATTTATATTATATTATCCTTTGTTTTATCTTTTTATATTTGATTTAGCATGTGGATTACGAAACGAAGAGAGTAGAATCGTCGGTGGTCAAACGACACGAATGAACGAACTCCCATGGATGGCAAAACTGTCCTATTTAAACAAATTTTATTGCGGTGGTTCTTTGATAAATGATCGTTATGTGTTAACCGCGGCACATTGCGTTAAAGGGTAAGTATGATCAAATGAATATATATATATATATAATTAGATACATTAGACAAATTACCCAACTCGATAAAAATAATAACTTTTGCTTTATTTTTCCGTCGCCGGATTTGATCAGTCCCTCCAGTTTTATTTTCAGGTTTATGTGGTTCATGATCAAGGTCACATTCGGTGAACACGACAGGTGTATCGATAAAGGTATTGAAACAAGATACGTCGTCAGGGTGTTAACCGGTGATTTTAGTTTCCTCAACTTTGATAACGACATCGCACTTCTTCGGCTTAACGATAGAGTTCCCTTCAGTGATACGATACGTCCAATATGTCTACCAACTGTAAAAGGTAAATACATAATTATGATAAAGTTATCTAACTTTGAAATCTATATAGAAAGATGGTCATATCGGAATGGATATTTGACAATTTTTAACTGATCGATTGTTGAGTAAATCCGCAACGAACGCAACCCTGTTTGATCGTCATTTCATTGCATATTGCACTGACGATTGCGATGCATCGCAATGCGCATAAATTTGTCAGTATACGGGTACCTTTTTCAATCGAATCAACTTACAACTGCGTAATAAGAGATTTCTCTTAGTTCCGATAAAAATTAATCGAACTCAATGACGAGATGCTTCATTGAATAATATTGAAATTTATCGTCTAACTCTTTCCTTATAATTTCTTTAGCTTATTTTATCGTACTGTTCCTTTAAAGAAAAACTTTTGCGAATTGTTTGAAATTCTTTTTTTTACTTACAATATATCGGGATATATCGATGATCCAGAGAACGAATACATTGGATCAAAAGCGATAGCAGCTGGATGGGGTACTCTTAAAGAAGAAGGCAAGCCATCCTGTTTGCTTCAAGAAGTCGAAGTTCCGGTTATGAGCTTACAGGATTGTCGAAACACCAGTTACAGTCCTCGTATGATCTCTGATAACATGTTATGCGCAGGATATCCGGATGGAATGAAGGATTCTTGTCAGGTAATGATTAATGTCATTTATATCAATGACAAAACTGTCTTAAAAAAAAAAAAAAAAGAAAAAATAGATAAATGTATGTATGAGATATACGAATGTTTAAGACATATGTAATGTATTATCATTACTGTAGGGTGATAGTGGTGGACCACTAATAACCGAACGCGAAGATAAAAGGTATGAAATCATTGGTATCGTCTCTTGGGGAAATGGATGTGCTCGGCCAGGATATCCTGGTGTTTATACCAGAATTACCAATTATTTGGATTGGATCTTAAATAACTCAAAAGATGGTTGTTTCTGCGATAATAATTGACTTCAATTTCGTCGAACTTATCAAGATCTTCCAACATAATTAATGTTATATATATCGAACGTTTATGTTATACAACTATTCAAACGCTTATGTTTCTTATCAATTAGAATAGTCGATATTTTTTTGATTCGACGCCATTGAAAAATACTATTTATGTATTTATATTTAGATTGTTATATCACTGTACGAGATTTATACGAAAACGAGATTACGTAGATATAAGTTCGCTCGTGTAATAAATATCACTGCGTTATCTTACTCGACTTCATTCTTATGGAATGATAAATAAAAAAGATTACAAATTTCACTCTTATTCTATACACACACACATATACACACACACATATATATATATATGTATGTGTGTACATTAAAAAAGATAAAAATAATAATTAAACGATATAATTGAAATAAAAGAATTTTTTTTAATTTAATCACAAAGTAGATTCTTTCTCGTACTTTAAATGCTCAACCAGTCAGAATTGAAGTAACGGTATCAACCGATGGGACCGGTTACTAACTACGTTGGGCGTCGCTCGGGTGACGAGTAAAAGGAAAAATGAGATCTGTCCTACAGTCGTAAATCCGCGTCGTGAACGGATTTACGAAAGCAAACAGGCTTCATTCGACGTCTCAGTATGGTAATCGTGAAGATGCGGGCCCAGATGATCCCGCTATACGAGCCAAACCAGTCGTTTAACGGACATCACTGCTTGAAAAGACAACAAGCCGTAGAATCAGTCTAAGTAATTTCATAAATGCTAATTCATTTGTCACTTCGGCATTCATGAAAGAAAGTATTGTTTTATTTAAAAAAAAATTTTTTTTTCTCTTTTTTTTTTTTTTTTTTTTTTTTAGATATATATTTACAAATAAAATCGATGTTAATAATAAATCGTAATAAATATAATATAATTAAAAATTATTATATATAGGAAATTTAATTTTTAAAAAAATTGTACGAACACTTTTGTAAATGATGTCAGATTGCGACATATCAATCATTAGTCCATCGAATCATATAATAGAAAAAAAAAAAATTTTCGTAACCAAATAATTTCTCATGGATCTAATATTACTATTAAACGCAGGAATAGAAATTCGTTTGTTTATTTTAAATATTTTGTCGTGTAAAATATCAAAAAAAAAAAAAAAAAAAAAAAAAAAGAAAAGAAAAAAGAAAAATAAACATTAAATTGCAAATTATCGTCGACACTCTCTATCATTCTCTGTGTCTTACAATCTCATTACTGCGTTATACATAACAATATTATTATATAATAATTATTAACTATTCATTTTTTCAAAGTTATAAATGAAATTACTATGAAGACGAATATGGCACGTAATTGTTTTTTAATCTTACGATTCGATACGAATCAACGTATCAATTAACAACGCTAAAACTTCGTTGGCTAGTTTAGAAATTCGTTTCAGAACGTACAGACGTCTCTTGTTGTTTTAACGAAGAAAAAAGTACAAGGGATGAAAGTTTTATCGGTGACCCTAATAGGGATTAGAATTTTTATCGTAATAAATGTACTTTGCAAAGTTCGTTAATTTAAAGAAAATCATATCGAATTAATTTCGTTACGATTAATTGTCTAATTATGATTTTGTTTTCAGGGAAAAAAGCTTGAATTGAACGTGAATTTGAATTGTGGTAAATAATTTGAAATTCTTTTCATACACACACACACACACACATATATATATATATATATATATGTCATGTATTAAAATGGATACAATTCGTTGTATGGATCAAGTAAAAATATTTCATTCTTTTTTATAAATAACAAAAAATTCTCATTTTGAATTCTTAACTTTTGCTATAACAAAAAGCCATTGTTTATTACATTTTTTTTTAAATAACTTACATAACATATTAATATCTTTACATTTACTCAAAAATTCGTAAAACTCACGTTGCTTAGTCTAAATAATTTTTATTGAAAAAAAAAAAAAAAAAAATTATGAAAAGATTTTTTTAAATCATCCATTTTTAATAACGTCAGATTGCGGCATATCGATCGTTGGTCCATCGAATCATGTAATAGGAGAAAAAATTTCGAAACCACATAATTTTCCATGGATCGTAGTACTATTAAACGCAGGAGCTATTCATTGTGGCGGAGCATTGATAAACGATCGATATATATTAACAGCTGGCCATTGTGTTAAATGGTTATTATATTTTTTGTTTTTTATATTTTCTTCTCAATTTCATTGATATTCTTCGATTTATATTCTACAATTTAATTCTAATAGGACAAAGGCAAAGGATATGACCGTAGGATTAGGTATTCACGACGTAGATGATCCAAATGATGGATACATTATGCCTATCGACAAAATGATCTTACATGAAAATTTTACAAGTCATATTATACATGACAACAACGACATCGCATTAATCAAATTGAAAAACTTAATAAAGTATGACGATCATGTGCAACCAATTTGCTTTCCGAACAAAGGTAAAATATATTTTTTATTATCGAAACTAAAACATATGTCAGTTTGACAGATACTTGCAAAAAAAAAAAAAAAGAAAAAGAAAGAAAAAAAAAAGAGAAAAATCGTGTTTTCTAACTCTAATGCCAAGTTAAAAAATACCAAAAAAATAAAAAATACTTTGACAGATGCCAAATATACTGGACAAAAGGTCAAGGTAACAGGATGGGGAGCAGTTGCTGTTAACGGAGCAACTTCAAAATTTCTTCGTGAAACTAATTTAAACGTATTATCAATGGATTCTTGTAAGAACACTTCCATTGGCAAGCATTTAACAAATTCTGTAATATGTGCTTACAACGATAATACAGATGTCTGTCAGGTAGAATACATTGTTTTATATATAGATTTTATTTATAAAAATTAATGAATTTAAAAGAAAAATATATCAATCTCGTAATTGTAGGGCGACAGTGGTGGACCAATTTTTATAGAAAGACCAAATGGAAAGAATGAAATGATCGGTAAGAAAAACTTTTGTAATTTTATTTCTGATAAATTGTAATTAATAAATTAACGTTTAATTTAAGGTATCGTTTCTTGGGGATTGGGTTGTGGTAACAAAGGCGTACCTGGTGTATATGTAAAAATTACGGATTACTTAAATTGGATAAAAGAAAATACTGCCGATGCTATTTATTGCAAGGATTAGTAGAATATAAATTATAATTGATATGCAATGTCGTCATTTTTAAAATTGATTATATAAATCTAATTAAAAAATTACGATAGAAAAAATAGATAAATATTGCTCGATTGTTTTTAATTATAAGGATTTAAAATTGGCAATGAATCATCGTTTTTGTTAATAATTTCTGCTTACCATTGCAGATAATTAATCATAAGTGCCATCTGTGAAGAATAAAGCGAGCATGTAGGAATCCACTTTGTCGGTGTTTAATCAAAATAAATGTGCATTTAGCATTTATTGAGATAAAAATTTGTTAAATAATCTATATAAATATCGTTTACACATATTATTAAATAGTAAAAAATATCTACCAAGATATAATATACATATAATTATATTGTTATAATTAACAATAATAATATTTAAATATATATATGTATATATAGATTATACATAAATAATATATATATATATATATATATATATATATATATATATATGAATTATAATTAAAATAGTATAAATTAACTATAAATGACAATTTTATGGAATCTTTGTAACATTCCTTTCTGTTAATAATTTTATAAGGAATAATTATTGGAAATTTAAAATAAATTTCATTATGCTATGCATTTATATTAAGTGGATTAGGTATTAAGTTTATTTTGGGAACATTTCATAAAAATCGCAGCTATGATTAAAATACATTATCATAAGTATCCACGTAACAATTTGTGCATATAATATGAATGGTCAAACTGTCATGAGACACTTATCACACAGGTATTCTGCAATTATGATATTAAGTTCATATGTCGTAACCGTGTGTAAGTGGACGGCATTCTTTCTTTCAAGAGAAAAAAAAAAAAAAAAAAAGAAAAAAATATAAATCATTTACATTGTATTAAAAAGGGCTATGAATGAAATGACTTTACTGCTATCGCATATAGACACATGTGAACATAACAATTTTCCATCAAAATAGTAAGTATTAAATAGGAAAATGATATCAATATTGTGTGAATACATTTTGCTTGAACAATATGCGCCAATACATTTGTATTATTTAAGCTATTTAAACCAATGTTTCTCTAGACAAATACTTCTACAATACTATTTAATATATTCGATGATATTAATAATCGAATATTTGCAATTTGTCCTTTTCAATATATATCAATATATTATAAACATCACGGCGGATAACCTTAAGACATCCTTTGTTATTATGATTAGTCATTATATACAGAAAATAAAATATAATTCTAGCGAAATGCTACATATTGAATCAATAGAAATATGCCGACATAAAGGTATAGAATTGCACTTATTAAAGTAGAACTGGACTATATTTCTTTATTATTGTAGTCCAATATCAAGGTTAGTTATATTTCAAATAAAATATTGTCACATCAAAGCAAAAGTTTATCTACAACATTTAATATTGAGATTGTGTTTTGAAAATATCGTATCATAGTAATTTTGATGTGTGAGATCAAATAAGAAATAAATTTTATACAAAAAGATTTTTTTTTCTTTCTTTTTTTTTCTTTTTTTTTCAAATAAAAATATTTGATTTACTAAAATACTTTCGCATTGCAATAATAGTAAATAGGAACATTCTGCTATATTAGTTTTTATGAGACACAATGTACATATGGTAACAAAATTTATATGTTATTTTTAAATATTGTTATGTCCCATTATTAACGTAAAATTGTGATCCCCATCATAATTATTTGTTTCATTATGAAACAGAAAAATGATTTTAAGAAAAGATGCTCAAGTACAAAATCTATTACATCGGAAATGGTGCCTTAATATGCAACGTGATCAATCATTTCACATACAATTTGTATTAATACATAACATGAGTAACATTTGCATTACATTGTGAGGTAACTGCTTCTTCTAATGTGCAATCAAGTTTACGATAATTTGCGGTACTAGGACGTCGTCTACCTCGATTATTTTTTGACCTACGTCCTTCTAATACTATCGCCAATATCTAAAAGTGAAATAAATTGCATTAAAAAAAATTTTTATTATATTAAAATAATAACATTTAAAATATACATAATTATGCATACCTTTTGCTTATTATGATATCCAATGTAACCAGCGATAAAACCAAGTGATATAATGGCAAAATAAGTAAGGAAATGTGATTCATCATCATTCTTAATATTGGAATAATTTTCTTTTTGAGTTCTAGTTTTATCACTTAGATTATCTGTAAGAAAAATTGATTAATAACAATTAATATATTATTTATTAAAACATTATTGTGTATTATTTATTTATATCTAACCTTCATTAATAGAATGATCTGTACTATCTGGTTGATCTATAAAATAAAAATAATAATAGTACATATAATTAAAAAAATATTAATAATATATTATTACTTATACAAATGTCAATATTAATAATGATTATTCTTACTGGATTGCTGTTCATCATTGATATGAGTAGAACTTTCAATATTTTCAATGATTGGTGTATTATTGGATGGTACAGTGGTTTTAGTATCTGTTTGTTTATTTTGTAAAGATGAATTTATTTCAGGATTTTCTGATTTTACCTCTAAATCTATTTTATCTTCCTTTTTACTTTTTGAATCAACTTTTTCAATATTTGGAGGTGGTTCTTGGCTATTATTGATATTAATTGATTGTTTATCAACATAGTCTAATTGAGATGGTGTTTTATATAACTCTTGATTATAAACATTCGTAGAAGCAGATATTGATTGTAAATTTACCTCATTGACATTTGATTTAGATTTTACAACTTTGTTCTGTTGATTACTCATGTATTTAAGATTTCCATTATTATTTGTATCATTATCATTTGCATTATTCATAGATATATTAGAAATAATAGAGCTATTATTGCTCAAAATTTTTTTCATTTCTATTCCTTTTTTCAATGGTTTGACAATTTTCACATTATTAGTCGTTTCATCTTGATGTAAACTTGATTGATTTCTATGATTTGTTTGATTTTCTTTAGCTTTTTTTAAATTACTAATATTCTCATTGATTGCATCAACTTTCACATTAATATAATTCATTTTTATATGATTTACAATCTCTTTGTCTATTTTATTGATCAATTCCAATATTGCACATAATGGTATCATTTTCTTATACAAATCAAAACATACCTTTTTACATACGAAAGTATCGTTTAATGATTCTCTCAATGTTTCCAATGGAGATTGTAATTCTGTATTTGTAGGTAAAAATTCTGATAAACTTAAACAATGATTATTCATATCCAAATCATTGAAAATAGTCTCGGTTAAATTTTGAATCATCGAATCTAATTTCTTCTTATCATGAATTATATTGACCCATACTTTTTGTTTTCCAATAGTACAGGTTTTATTTATAATTTCATATGTTCTCAAACATACAAATATTTCTATATTAGTTTCTGTAACCTTTAATTGATTTATTTCCTTTGAATAATTCACCGAACAATTTGTTTTATATTTCGATTCATTTCGAAAGAAATCTTTGATGGGATTATCACAGAGATTTTTGATATCGTACGTAACAGAAGTATTTTCTAATGGATGAAGATAATACAATGGAAATCGAATGAAAATAATGGAAAAGGCATAAATTATACGAAAACTGTTTTCCATCGTATAATATAAATATATTCAATCGAAGTAATATAGGAATACTGAAATATGAAAAACTTGTACTTATCGTACTACGCACATCCTTGCAGCGTATTATAACCTCTTTCCACGTAAATATTTCGTGAAAATTTCCAATTGTTTTATCTTTTTTGTTGAACACCTCTTCTTATACTTTAAGTTTTCTTTTTTCTTTTTTTTACGAAGGCCTAGATTCAAATACCTTTATATCGAACATAACCTTTCACTGATAAAATCTTAAACGTTGTAAAAGCAACAGCGCAAAACTGACAAATCACGAGAAGTGTTACCAACCTTTATACTTTCTCAATCCGTAACATTAAAAAAAAAAAAATATATATATATATATATATATATATATATATATATATATATATCATAATATATATTTATACATTTTCAATTTATTAATTATTATTTTACTAGATGTTAAATATTAAATACTAAAATAAGTGAAATAAAATATATTAAACAATCTGTTTTCAAATCTTTTGTTCATAAATAATATAATCCTATGATAGTCATTCTATTATTTTTTAAATTAAAATTTATAAATAGAAATTTTTTGAAAAGATATTTTTAATATCCAAAATTCTTCTTTACGTTTGAATAATGTTCGAAATAATTTACATCCTATTTAGAATTAATTAAAATGTTTCTAATCAAAAATTTACTTTTATTCAATCGGTATAAAAAATTCTAAATAAAATATCCAGAGGTCGAATATAGAAATCCAATATAGATCTTACAGATTATAATGTTTCTTTAAAAATCGATTGTTTATGTCGTAACGATAATATAGTTACATAATCTATGTAATAAAAACTTCATTTGACACTTCTCAAATTAATTAAATATTTTTCTTAACCATAAAACATATAAAAATGTATAAAAATCATTTGATAAATTTATATAATTAAGAATCATGTATTCGTCTAATTCGAAATCTTTGAAAATCACGTAAAATCATTTTGAATAAATCACAAACTATCTAACACAACGTATAATGCATTACAATAATCATGTCCACCCAGCAAAAGAAAAAGCAAAAGAAAAAGCAAAAGAAAAGGCAAAAGGAATTTGATCCAATTAAAGAAGAAGAAAGAGCTAAGAGAATTGCGACGATCGAAAAGAAAAGACAAGATGTTATAAATATCGTGAAAGAATCTTTAGCAAAGAGACTTTCCGAAAAATTGGCATTGCAAAAGTATCGTTCTGATAAAGAGGAAAGAGCGGAAAAAAAAATTATTACAGATGCCAAAAAATCGGAAAGTGAAAAACAAATGCTACAAGTTTGTCCATTAATATGTACCTATACATAACTGTATATATATATATTTATCATAAAATGTAATTTTATAAAAATAATTATTTAGATACGAGAGAGTATGAGTACGATTATAGAAGCTGGTATAAAATCTGTTTATACATCTGTAATCGTACCAAAGAAGATAAAATACGATGGGAAATCAACGTTAACTATCAAAGAAGTAAAGTATAAATTAAAGAACAACTTACACATTGTTGGTTGGGGTAGAGAAGCTCTTATGATGAGTTCAGCATTTGAAAGGATCGTTGGGAAACAATTGAAAAAGGGATGGATGGTGATCCCTCGGAAATCGGTGTTTATGATGTGGACTTTCCCAGAAGCATTTCCTAAGCTCAATAGTCGTATAACTTACATTGAAGGTGGCACCGATGGGAAACCAGACGATAAAGCAATTCAGGCTACTCGAAAAATTACAGAATATTGCAAGAAGTTAAAGAAAAAAGACATTCTAATAGTCATGTTGTCTCATGATATCGACGATCTTTTGTGTTGTCCGAGAGAAACGATTACATTGACAGATAAATTTAGGTTGTTGAATAGATTGAAACAATTAAATGCTACTACAGAGGAAATCAATATCGTGAGAAATAAATTGTCAGCTATAAGAGGTAGAAACATAGATTATTATTCGATTATTCATTCCCGATGGAAAATAATAATGACAATCGTTTATTTTATTTAGGTGGTGATCTAGCTCGTCTAGCTTATCCAGCGAAAATTATCATTTTGATCACGTCCGATGTAGCGGACGAACCGGTGGATTTTATTGGAGGTGGTCCATGTACTTACCATCACAAGGGTGAGGAAGCATTCACTATATTGACAAAGTACAATTTGATCAGTAAAATATCTCAAAGCGTTCGTAGTTTAATACAAGAGACCGTACCACCGGAAACCGCTGCGGATAGCCAATTGGACAATCAACAGAAATATAAATTTGTCCAGTCTTACGTGATAGCTTGCAATGCCGATGCTATAGAATGTATGGCGACTACGACCTACACTTACGGTTTATTACCCGTTAAACTTAATTCTGTTTGCTCTGGTACAATTGAAGAATTTGCTAGGGAATACGTGAAAATGGCCTCGTTAATGATACTAGCTGTCGAGGGAAAGATCACTAAATTCGAGATGTACGAAATGATGAAAGACAGCACAGTTTGTCCATTGACCGATCAAAAAGTTAGAGAGATATTTCCTTCGAAGGAAGAATGGGCTTTAGGATTGTGTCTTTTATTAGGAGGTAGACCAACGGTCGAACTTCGTTCGAATAATGGAAAAGGTGGTCCCAATCAAGAGCTTGCTCTTTACTTTGCGCGATATTGGCACTTGCGTACTGAGCAATATCCAATTTTGAGAATGTACACCGTCTGGTTTCTCGGTGGAAGTTCTTATGGTCGAGATGGTAATACGGACGCAGCCGGTGCCTTTGGCTATAAGAACCTTTATACTGACATTTATCCAAAATATAACAAAATCAACGATAAGTATAGAGATGCTCATCTCGAATGGATCAACCTTGTCGACAAAATGGCACCTGACGAAGAAATATTGGTGAGTTTATTTTCATATTTTTAAACAAATATCAAAGAATGATCTTTCTAAAAATTCAGGTAAAAAATAATTAATAATTAATTCTGACTGATTCAAACTGATTTGACGTTTCTATATCAAACCTTAAAGCTTTTTTTTATCATTTTTATCACATTTATATTTGATCATTCTATTAAGATAAAAATTATAACATGAAAGATCAATTAATTAATTTTAAAATTATTTTAATCTTCATTATTGACGTTTTGACATCAGATATGTGTACCGGGATTGTCAAATAATAAGGATAATAAATAATTTTCAACTATCTTCAAACTTAAATAAATCGTATATCTATAAAAAAAAATATTAAGTATTAAATGCTATCATCTGTGAAATTTTATTCCAAGAATAGAAAAAATCTATTTGTTCAAACAAATCTCAATGTTATTTACTTTTAATATTATGAATGAATGTTATTTACATTCATTGCAAAAATTAATTTTTAATAATTTTAATTATAATAAGAGATAGCAAAAAGGAAAAAAAAAAAAAAAGAAAAAGAAAACTTTTAATTAAATTGAAACTTTATTCATAATAGCATTAACTAGTGCTTTTAGTTATAACTTTTGGATGTTAATATCATATGTTACAGAATGCTCGTGGTAAAGTAAATGATTTAGATAAAATAAGAAAAATGTATGCCGCCATCCTTCCAGATAAAGTTTTAAATGAAAATAATACGAATTGGTTATTGCGAAGCGTAAACGACGGCGATGAACTTCTGGAATTAAAAAGTGGAAATTATTATAATTTCACAAACGTCGGTGATATATATGTTATACGAATCGTTCGATTTCAATGCAATTGCGATGGTCTTTGTCACATAGACAAATTATGCGATGATAAAGAATGTCTTTTTAATCGAACAGCGTCAATTAACGAAGAGATAAATTTGTCTTTTTGTGGTAAAATTGATGGACCGAAAAATTCATGATCATTTTCTTGGCTTATGATTATTTATCTTAATGATTATAAGATTGAAATAATAGCTAATAATAAATTTTAAATGATTTCATTTTTAGAAATTATTTCATTATATAAACATATACATATATATATGTGTGTGTTTTAAGAAAATAAGATCAGTGAAGATATATTTCACATTATGTTAGATACAATTCTATCATTTCCTACGAGAAGTCTGAATTTATTGGAATCTTCCAAGCGAAATGATTCCTACTGAACGATCGATTTCTCCGAATATAGAAAGGGAAGGAAAGGGAATGCGGGAAAGGAAAGTCCCAGGAAGCTCATTTCGCCCTTCCGTGACATAATAGAGATCTTCTAACTTCGCATGTCCCAAGGGTTCGGTATCAATCCCGTTCAACAAAGCCTTGGGAATGGACTGGGCGAGCTCGACGACACCTTCGAAGTATACCGTGCTTCTGAATACGTCCTTCTTACCGTTCCTTCGTGACCAAATCCAAAATGTCCCTAGAGAGAAAAATTGAGAGAGAGAGAGAGAGAGAGAGAGAGAGAGAGAGAGAGAAACGTTCTCTTCTTGAGTGTTCGCGCAAGCTATCCTCGGTTAATATCGCAAGATTTAATCCAATTGCAAATGTTCTCTTTAGAAAAGTACTCGACAATTTTCCAAACTAACTTTGAAACGTTTTAAAGCGTTACGAGTAAAGCTTTTGGTAGGACAATGAACGCAAAGTTTCTTAGCGATAATAAAATTTTATCGAAAATAATACAAATCCCATATTACGATTCTGTTACTCTTTATACGTTTATCGTTGTCCATGACCTCACAGGACAATAGATAATGACGGTATATAAATTTTACTTCGATAGTTCGATCGAATTCGTATCGGTCTAGAAAACTTGCATCCATAGCGTTAAACGAAGAATGCACGATGAAGCATTGGCTATCACTCTCTACCTTTCTACTACTGGTCCATTTTTCAAGGTAGAAAATAAAATATGGTACATATCAGGCAATTCTTCATTCCTTCTGACGCCTCGCGTTCGTTACCACGTTTACTCGCGTCTATACATACATATATATTATTAGTTTACCGATTCTAACGTCCTACAGAAAACTATACGAATATCAATGTTATTGGAGAAATGGATATATGTATATCTGTCAATAAAAAGAAGAGATCAAATTGTATAAGTTTAAAATTGACAATCTCTATTATAGATAAGTAACGATAATATCTATCTATTACTATCATTTTATAG